CTGAAATTAGAACAAACGTACAAGCTCCTTAGAATATAAGCATAGATTTCAATTTACTCAAAAAGGAATTGTCCCTTGTTAACTATTGAGTTATATTTTGTTATTCTCTATAACAATAATTTGTATATTTAGGCGCCTGTAAGTTTTAACATAAACTGCAAACCAATTTCCTTGTAGCTTACACCAAATGTGGAGCACCGCTTTTATGTAGTAATACAACTTTAACTGGATAAAACAAGTATCAAACGTACTCCTCATAAACCAAATGAATGAAGCGTAATATATGCATAGCGATGCTCTGAAGTAAATTAAAAATCTGTTTCGCATTATTGCTGTAAACTTCAATCTGTCTGTCTGTGACCGCGAGCAAATTTCAATTAGGACGGTCGCTGCAGACCAAACGGGTTGCTTTTTATTTTTTACCCTTAATCTAACGGCTTACTCAGATTTGCTATAACATTATTTTAAGGAGATTTTAATGAAGTTTTATATCTTGTATTGCTTTTTAAAATACTTGTTTATAATCCCCTTATACTCGGACATATCATACACACATGCACTGTCCAAATATCAAATAAACAAGATGTATTTAAATAAAAAACTTTGCAGTCTTTAACGCGAAAGATATAAGTTAATTTTTTACCACTTATTTTAACTATTTCACGACGTTTCTGATGATTTGCAACACGGACAGGCTCTACTTTACATTTCGCATTTTAAACCGTTAGAACTGTTTTTTTTGTTTTTTATTTCAATGTGAGCTACTTGCCTTAGCTACAGACAATACTTAATTAGCTGTGTGTGTATATCACTGTATATTTATACAAACTATATATATATAAAGTGGTATATAACTAATTTCTCTTTTTAATAGGTCAGTTGTTACGTACAAAAGTCAAAAAATCAATCTAGAATTTAAAAATTTTTGTAGGAACGATTAATAATAAAGACATTAGCTAATTAATATACAATTAAAGTATAAAAGTCTTACTTCAGTAAAATACAGAAAGGTGAAATTTATTTCATTACTAAAATATTGTATGGCAATGTATGGCTAATGATCAATGGGTCCCGAATTCGATCCCCACCGTCCAACATGTTTCCAATCATTTAAATAAAACACTTTAACGGTTTAAAACGCGATATATTAGTTAAACTTATTTAAAAATGATTTTTAACTTCGGCCCGACGTTTCGGATGTTTTGCCGCAGCCGTCACCCCGTGACCGCGTTAAATGCGCTACTATTAATTGGGAATGGCTATCTATTAATTTTATATAGGGCGCTATAAATACTTAAACTTTTTAAGAATTCTCCAATAAAGATCACGAAATCTGCGAAGTTATGGTGCACAATAAACGCCGATCGGTAGTCGCCTCCACAATTAGTAGCTAAAGGGTGTTTATTTAGGGGAACTCTGTGATTTCACCATGATTTGAACTTTTATAGGATAATAATTCGTTTGTTTTGAATTGTTTATTTAGTGTAATAGTAAATTACACTTATAATATAATGATACATTTATTCTTTATTATAATACCTTAGCGATTTGTGTAATGTGTCTCATTGTTTCCTTTTATCAGAATAAATAAATAAAATTGACTAACAAAAAAGGCAGGCAAGATGAACACATTGTGTAGTTATTTTTATTGTTTAGTATGTTTTTATAAGATTTTATTTCCGAACGCCCAAAACCAAAATATTGTCGACGATTCGATTCAATTACCTAATGCCTTATAAGATATAAATAAAAAGTATGCTCCAGAAGATATATATATATATAAACACCGTCCTATACTTTGTATAATATACTAAAATAAGGACAAAGAACTGAGTATTTAAGTAATGTTATGCTCTGTCTATTGTAATACTGTTCTATCCGACTTTAATGACTTAGAATACCAACTTTACTTTGTTACTTTTCTTATTTCAAAATGCATACATATTCCATTGCAGTTAATGATGGTTACCCTGGTCGGGGTGTGAAGTGTTTCTGGCTTCCCCCCTCTAATCGCTTAACCGATTTCGTACATAAACTCGCATTATTGTTTTTTTATAGTGAGATAATAAAATTGTCTCTTTCGAAACCGATGTGGGGTTTTATGCGGTTATTAGAAGTGGAGCGGGCAGATTTTTAAACTTTATGGGGGCTTACAAATCTACTAAACAAATTTATACTCTTTTTATGTTTTTACACCTGGAATAGAGAATACTGGTGAACTGGCTTCAAAAGGAAATGTGTGGGTCTTAGAGACGGTACCTTCTTATGCGTCTTTCATGCATTTCTTGTTGAAAATGGTCATAACAAGTATGATTGTTTGTGTCCCACTATGTAATCTAACAACATACTAAATTAAAAATAGATTAAAAGTCAAAAGATTTTACGACTCGGGCAGGTCTTAACCGGCATCCTAGGCGTTCTGTGCTGTTGCTCTAATTAATTGAGCTACCGAGTCCTACACGTCACTTCGAATTTTTTAAATCCTATACACTCACAACATGCTATTATTTCTAATTGAAGTAGAATAAGATTTTCTTATTAAAATGGATGAAAATATGGGCATCAAGATCACTCAATGGAAATTGAAATGCCCCAGTCAATAAAGTATCAAATTGAGATGCCCTGTCGACTTATTTAGGCTTTGGACATTTGGAAATCCGCGAACTGTAAACAGTGTTACTGGCCGTTACGCTAATATAAATTTCACGGTTGTTCCGTGTGAATGATGGATTGTGACCTGGACGGAATTTGAATATTCCTACAAATTAATAACCAGATCTTACATGTTCTATAATTGTAAATGATTTATAAACAAACAAACTCTTCAGCTTTATAATATTAGTAAAGATTATTATGCTGAAAGGAACTAGAAAAGTTTTTCATGGGATATTTCATTCAGGGATAATAAAAGTGGGATAGTTATTATTCAACAAAGCGGACCTCTTCCCAGCACATGTGTTCATTGTTCAGTATTTATTCGCCTATAATTGAGGATTGGATTAGTATCCCCCGTTGTTTATAGACGAGTGACTCTTGAGTGCCGCGCTAAGGGTTGTGACTATCAAAAAGTACGAGCAAGTACGTTTTACAGTTCAGATTCTCCTAGCTGGTACAATTCTAGTTTCATAGTCACATCATATCTACTATATAAATGGTAGGTATCAATTAAGTACAATAAAATTCAAACAGTAAAAGTTCTTCTCCCCGTCTCCCCGTGACCACGGCTGCAAAGCATCCGAAACATCGGGCCGTAGTTAAAATAATTTTCAAATGAGTGTAACTAATACTCATCGCATTTTAAACCGTTAAAGTGTTTTATTTGAAAGTAAAAGTTACGTCAAAGAGTTCGATATAATTAGGTTGTAACATGTTACATACGCATTTCTAAATATCAAATTTTGTTTGTGGCGCTATTCTATAAACGAAGGTCCTAAACAGGTTTTTTATAATTTTTCTCGAAAAGAGTAGTAGGCATGAATGGTACTACAGTGTTTTAGTAGAATCTTGAAATAAATACGCTTGTAGTTATCTTAGTTAGTCAATAAATGCCATCTCAGTTAACAGCCCTAGATACAAGTTTGAAGTGGTTCTGAAGTGGCCCGGGGAGTTACTCAGCACACATGTCGTTTTCTATTACAGTTTTAATTTTCACGAGAGATTACTTACTTGTCTTAAAACCGGTACCAACATTGATCACAATTGACAGGCTGTTAAGAATCAATTATGTCAAGAAGCAATATCTAATATCGATGTTGATACAGAAGGAATCTGATTTAACAGTAGGTCATAAATTAGTGAAATTGAATTATGTAAGTATGAGATTGGTGATAATATGTAATAAATAAAACAAATTTTAATTATTTAATTTAATTTTTAACTAAACGTGATACAAAAGTATGAAACTTAAACGAAAAAAATCCGATTAACCAATATTATTTCAATTAAAACTTATTCTATTTTATGGACAACGAAACATTGTTTATTGTAACTTAATTAGTATATTTTGTGTTTGTTTAAGTACTTATAAAATAACCTAATTCAAACATATATAACAGAACAAGAAACGAATATTAACAATAAAACAGTTAAACAATATGATTTATTTACAAATTTGTCATATCATGCCCTCTAGTTCTTAACTATTAATAATATATTTTACAATACTTAGTATTTGAATATTATAGATATAGGTATTATGTTATTAATAGTTTGATAATTGATTTGGATGAAATATCTACTAGATTATTATTAATTTTACTATTATTTACAAGTTTAACACGAAACAATAGGAAGACAATTTAAAATACATTTATCGATATACAGCTTTGATGTTTAAGAAAAAAGAAATAAACTAAAAATAATTATAAAAACGATGACAATAAGGAACAATAAAGTAACAACTACTATATACATCAGTGCAACGAACAGAGACATCTGCATTCAGTTTTCAGTCTTCCACTAAGATTCGTTCCTATTCTACGAATTTCGTTTCCACTCATCTTCTGTTTGGCTCGAGAAGAAAACATAAAAGCAGTATATAGCTTGGCGTTTAAACACTAGCTAACAAAGAAGATCCTCAAATACACAGCACTGGAGATATTTGAGCAAGTAATTCTTAAATACTGTAGTGTACATTTAAATAAAACACTTACGGTTTAAAACGCGATATATTAGTTAGTAGAGAGTGACCACGTGACCACGACTGCTGCAAAGCATCCGAAACGTCTGGCCGTAATTGAAAATAATTTTCCATTATCTTTAACTAATATATATCGCATTTTAAACCGTTAAAGTGTTTTATTTAAGCGTGTAATTCTTACTGGACAGTACAGCAATCTACTTTTGTATAAGTTAAGTCACCACCCAAAATGTCATAACACTTGTTTCAAATTGATATGGTAACGTATTTAAACACTATCAGGTGTACTGCTTTCTCTTTCTGCGGAGGTGGAGGGCCTCTCCCAGTGGGCATAAGGCCGCGCTGGGAGGGCAACTGGCCTTCATATGACGTGCTGAGGAGGTTCCTCGTCACTCTTCATAAGGATGTAAGCAACTGGACGTTTGACGTCCGGAGGCGGGGAGGGTGTACGCCTTGGTGGACAGCCACATGGAGATAGCGCGCTATTGTATAGAGCACTGCTGTAGAGTGCTCCGCCGTAAAGTGCCTGTTAAATAAATATACGTAAATAATATATTAAGATTGAAAATGCGACATGGGACTTGAAACGGCGTCAACATCGTTTCGTGCTGTTGCACCACCAATTGAGCCCTACACGTCATCGTCGATTTTTTTTAATCTATTGATACATGCAACTCCCGCAATGTAATGCCGTGTGGATGGCGGGTAATTTTACATGTGGTATGTCAAGAAGGAAATAAAGGAAAGTTTACTTAGCTTAGCTTAACATACTTGTGTATCAGCCCACAGATAGATAACTTTGATGATGAAATTTAAATTATTTATATAAATTATATAAAAAAAATTACTACGCTGCTTTGCAACAGCCGTGATTTTTTATTTATAAAACAAGAAACGTTACTCCAATTTCAAAACATTTTGACTTCACCCCGACCACTTAGCAGCATCCGTGTTCCCCCAAAATAATATTTCGCGTTTAAAAGTGTTTGATTTTAATATCTACTACTCGTAGTAAATGATTTGTTGAAATATTGTGTGCTTAATTACTAGTACGTTAGTAATTTTTGCCGCTGCTTCAACTACTTTTATTCTAAGCCATTTTATTAAGAATGTGAAGAATATAATATATAGAAACATATTACTCTACCTGTAAATGAGCTAATTCCGCTGCCAACTTTCCATCGTCTGATGGTAACTTTGTAAAAGGGTAAAAGGGGTAAGGTAGGGGAGGGAACAACCTGCCCAAGTCTGGTTTATCAAAGTGGTGGGGTACAGGAAGTTGGGGCATGGGCTGTGGTAGCGGTGTGACTAGTCTTGGAACTGGTGCCATTAGACCGGAGATATTAAATCCGAATTTCGGCTCTTTCTTGACTAGCGCCTTCGGTTTTCGGCGCGGACGGTATTTGTAGTCGGGGTGCTCTTTCATGTGGAGGGCCCTGTAAAATAAATATGTATAAATATCCAAAGGTTTTTTGAAAACTGTCATGACTAAATTAATTTACTCGTAGATAAATATTTTTTTCTACATCATAGTAAGTATAACCAACTGACCCGGCTAACGCTTTTTTGCCATGTAAAGTTTTTAAGGAATTCCTAGTAAGTAAGGAGTGCTGTTAACGAAGACATACAAATATAACAAAACATTGCCACCGGTAGACACCTGGGGGGGATAACCTACTAAGTGATAATTGATTAGTTATCGAGTAAGATGAAAAAATATTGCATTACTGAAACAAGAGAGGTCGCTAATAGAAGATATAAATGAAATACTAGAGAATTTAAAAAAAAACTTACTTTACCCGTACGGTATGAAAATTTGATAGCAACCGATTCTCAGACCTACTAAATATGCAAATGAACTTTTATAAAAATCGGTCGATCCGTTTTGATGGAGTCACGCAGTAACACGAGAACTTTATAAATTAGATACTTAAGTATCCACGTAGACTTGGTATGAACGAGGTGTTTTTAATAGGTGATACATTTCTGCATCTCCTTCACTAGTGTATGTCAGGAAAGTAGTAGATAAGATTTCTATGCACTTCACGACGAAAGCAATGTTTGATGTTACCCTGGAATTCAAACCCAGTCGTTTCGCAAAATAACAGAGAATGAGTCATAAGGCTTAGTGGTGGACGTAAAGTGCTACGGAATTTGTGCCCAGTTCCATTCAATTGAAGCGTGTAATTTAATTCGATCGAGTTTTATAACTCATACAGTGACAAAACGGCACAATGAAACGTCGCCGGCCAGAATAACATTATTATTTATGCAATAAAGCGTACAATTGTCGCCCGCCGCCCTTAAAACAACAATGTCAATCGAACAATACCCGGATTATTGCATTGTCCTGTCAGAATCGATGTTATTCAGCACTCACCACTATGTGCACCTATTTATCCTTTTTAAAAGGACTATAGTCCGTTGGAATAAAGTTAAAAATCGCTTGCAACCGCCGGCGGTTGCGACTTTAAGTGGTGGGCGGATTGTCGACACAGTGTCCGATTATGAGAGCTTTGTGATAGAATCGCGATTGTCAGCGAGTCGATTGTAATTATTCGAATGGAGGAATGGGGGTTGATAGTTGAGGTTTTCGGATGCTGTTTGCTGATTAATTAATTATTCATTTGATCGGTCTCATTTTTAGGTTATTAACTTCATATCGATAGTAATATTAAAAATCTAAAGTGTGTTGTTTGAACGCGCTCATCTCAGGAAGGTGGTAATTAAGAAAATATTTTTGTGTTGGTTAGAGCAAAGGCTAAGGTTAGATTAAGAGAAAACCGTGGAAAATTTGGAAAAAACGGGGAAAATTAATTTTTCTTGAGGGCTTCCGTTGCCTGCGCTGCGAAAACGCGAACGGTGCAAGCAACCAAAAGTATACACTACCTATATATTACCCTAATGTGTACTATATTAAGTACACATTAGGGATTTGGCGGCAGGTAAAATATCCCAGCTATATAACAACTACAACAGCGCTGTCGACTTATTTTGGCTTTAGAAATTGTTTAAAATTTAATAAAAAAAAGATATGATAATAATGTTTTGTAAAAGGTATGTTCAATGTTAAGTAGTATTAAGAAACATTTATTTTATAAATTCGCTGTAAACTTCAAAAGATATTTATTTGTAATATATAATAAATATTTACCTATATACAATACATGGCTCTTAAATAACAAACAACTGAGTAAACGTAAGTAGGTGCAGTTTTAAATAAACACTCACGCTTGACCCCTATATGTCCCCGACAACCTCTACGGCTTCATCTAATATAAGAATTTCGACACAAGGAAAGAAAAACGCCTTTCATAATATCGAGAATAGTATCAATGTTTACCCAATTCGATTAAACTGTCCGCCAAAAAACTGTGCGACAAATAATATCGTTTTAGGGTTCCGCATCTATTATGTCTATCGCATGGGAAGAATCGTTTGTACTTAGAGAATGTGTTATAATTTATGTTGCATTAAAAAAGGAGATACTAAATATGATTAAACTTTGTAGATATGCTTGAGAACAATATAGTATTAAACATTACTAAAAATATAGATTATTACATAAATTGTATGTAAATAATTCTATATAGTCTTAATTTTTCTGTACTGTGTAATTGCGCAAGATAAATTAAATCGGTAAATTCATTCAATACATTCTTACTTTACTCCACTGTATTGCACATTAAACATTAAAATAACTATAAGATACATTTCATAGTCAAGGATATTCGCCTAAATTAATATAAGTAACTTTGAAATAAGTAATTACGCTTATATAAATATGTTATAATTATGCAAAAATACATAATAAACATGTTATATTGCACACGAAGACACTATACAATTCAAAAATCAAAAATAAATTGAAAAAAATTTTCGACTCGGGCAGGACTTGAACCGGCATCCGGCGTTCCGTACCAGCTTTGTTTTAATTACTAGCGTAATTTTTAACTTCGTAAAATAGACCAAAAAAAGCTACTGAACCAAATAACATTCGATTCGTATCGCACTCACCGTATCTTTCTCTATCGATATTCGTGTGTTTTTCTTGCGGCTATCGTGTTTGTTCCGCAAACAAAGTAATGAAGGAATTGATAGCGCGGGTCGATGACCCTCTAGTTTTGGATCTATACAGTGTCAAGCATTGTCGAATTTATTGCCTTAAAAAATTATAATGGCTTCTTGTGACCGCTGTGTTGTAATTCTTATACCAATATTATGACTTTGTAGAGGCGCTACGCCGTAGCACTTTTTATAGATGTGTTAGTTATTGTAAACAACTAACACATCTATAAAAACTATCTAACTACTTACGTCCAATAATCATTAAGTGAAATGGTAAGAAACTATAGACTTGTATTATCTATCTATCTATTATAAAACTAGACGCTAAAGAGTTTATATAAATTGAGAAAGCATTTTTACGCTTGTATTTTTTTATATCCATATAATTTATTATTAATAATTTTGGAAGAATGTTACCGCATGAAGGTAGCTTAATTAGTAAAGCGGTACGGTGTTTGAGTCTGCCTCGTGCCATAAATATTTTTTATCTAAACTGTTTCTTAAAGTATAAATGTAACAACAGAATATTGTCGTTTTGCCGTGAATTAAATACGTTCTAGTAAACCCAGGATGCACAGTTATCGCCCGATAACATTTATCAATTCTTCACGGATTCCATAAAAAAACTAAGACATTGTTGTTTGTATCGTATTGGAATTGTGTTTGATCAAACATCGCTGATAAAAATAAGTAAATAGGGGAGCGGAATTTTGACCATTGTCTGACCGATATGGTGACACGTGGGGCTTGAACATCACCAATTGATATCAATGAATTAAAAACGTTTCAGTCTGAATTCAGTATTATACATATAAGTATATGAATAGGGACTAACCAAACGTAATAAGAGCCAAAAAGCAAAGACGCGTACGTAGAGAAAAACAAAGGCGGTAACCCTACCGCTGCAGACGAGCATAAGCTTGTTTTTATAGCCCTGCCGGCGGGCGATAACGTCCCGCCCCCAACAATACCAGATATTATAGCCTGAATACTAGATAATTGTCTTCGGGGGCGCTTTTTGTATAATTGATTTGTTACGGCCGTTAGTTTATGTTAGATGCACCGAAAGATTTTCTAACTAAATATAAAAAGCCCTTATTGAACGGATTTATAATATTTTTTATAAGTAATGGAATAACGATATAGGTTAAAGCACACCAATACTGGATGAATATTGAGGGTAGGTACACTGTTCTTATGGGAGAGGAGACAAGGAGCAGTGTCGTCGTGTCGTGGGACCTTTGTTAAAATGAATGAAAGATAACATTGTTTATTTAAAATAAAATACTTTAACGGTTTAAAACGCGATATATATTAGTTAAACTTATTTGAAAATTATTTTTAACTACGGCCCCTTTTGTGTTCTTTGCAACAGCCGTGGTCAAGGGGAGACTAAAGATGAAGGATGTCTCAGACGTCAAAGTAAAATTTGCTATGCTAGCGCCATCTGTTTGGTCGTTTAAAACCGTTAGATGTGTACTACTCGCGTAAACTACAGACTGTATTTAACATTGTTTATTCAAATGTCTAGTTTAAAAAAGAAACTGTTCAGTGTCTAATCCCACTGTTTATATATTTTAATTGTATTGTTTTTGGATTAGGTAAATAAATTACTGTTTGAAGATGGATAGGGAAGTGTTTAAACCCGTTTTCATTAAATTTCTACGAATCTATGAAAATTGTATACAAGTAGAATTTAAGTCACATTTATATCAAGTAAAGTCTTATATGTAACTTAACAAAGTAAACGATAGTGTTGCCAATAAAAAACTGACAATACCTTTATCAAAATGCTCAACCTAATTCAAATAACAAAAGTAGGTACCTATGGGATAAGGAATGCAAACATCCGGCTATCGTGTTTGAGAATCCACTTTATTATTTTATAGGCACCTACTATGTAGGTTGAAAATAAGTAGCTGTTAAAAAACCCGTAAAATAAAAAAATAAGTATAATATAATTAATTTTTATAAAAATTATTAGCCTAGCCTATATTATAATTATAAAGTAATATGACAAAAGATAATGAAAAGGCAAAACTTGTCGTATTGTCTTATATTTACTTTCTCAATATTCATATTCTTAATATATATAGGCTTTTATATAAAATATGACATGAGAGCAGATTCATAGATTGATAGCATCAGTGGTCACGGAAAGACACGGCTGCTGCAAAGCAACCGAAACGTCGGGCCGAAGATAAAAATCATTTTTCAAATAAGTTTAACTAATACATCGCGTGTTAAACCGTTAAAGTGTTTTATTTAAATGTGTACTACTCGCTTAAACTACTATACAGTATTTATACAGAATGTACCAACTTAAAAAAGTTTTTTATTTAATTTTTAAATTCCTGAACCTACCAGACGGACTGACTAACAAAAGTTTACATTTTATAAAAATATTTTACAAAAAAAAATTAAAAGAGTTTCCTTCGTGCATCAAAAATATAACCTTAACAAAAATGTATTTAATAGTATTACAATAACTATTTTCTCAGTTAATTACAATTTAGCGCTTTTGAATTGAATCAGCTGTCAGATTCTTTTGAAAAAAATTGGTCTGTTTTTTTAGTAGTAAGTATTTCATTAGCTTAAATTTAACTTCAATATGGGTAAAAAGTCTGTTTATTAAATAAAATTGATTTTTTTACTTAGTAATTGATAATAATGATCGATATTACGAGTATTATAATATTTTTTTAATTAATATATATAGCATACAAAGCTACGAATTAAGTTAATAAGGTACTATATTTATATGTTAGGATTATGTTCGACATTAGGATAGATTAAACTAGGTTACCGAGTGATCCGTGGTATAAAGAAACCCATAAATTAATTTTAAAAAGCACATGTTTAATTAGGTATTTCTCTCAACCATAGTAATATCAAGCCACCACCGTATAACCGCAAACCCTTGGCTTGACACCTTTTGACGTTATCCTGTATTTAACAGGCTCGAGAACAACAGGCTTATCTACGAATTTTTGTCTTATGATAACCGACAGGTGTACGTTTTGTTTCCCTGTTTGAGTTCAGATAATGCGTCTAATTAAATAATAAATGGTTGATAGCTCTTGTTTGAGGAGACCTTTATAACCATAATAAGTTTCTGTAAATACAGTGCTGATGTTAGGACTCCCAGCTCGCTTGACAATTTTTTTATTTAGTAAGATTAATTAGATTAATAAAAAGATTAATTAGGTTAGTTTAAATACTGTCTATAGTTTACGCGAGTAGTACACATTTAAATAAAACACTTTAACGGTTTAAAACGTGTCTGTTGTCTCCCCGTGATCACGGCTGCTGCAAAGCATCCGAAACGTCGGGCCGAAGTTAAAAATCATTTTCAAATAAGTTGAACTAATATATCGCGTTTTAAACCGTTAAGTGTTTTATTTAAATAGGTTAGTTTAACTATATAAACGTCGCGACTAATAATAATAATTTGATGGCCTTGATGGTTTGCAAGGTATAATAATAAGGGTAATAAGGGTGGTGGGATCAAAACCCACCGAGTTCCTAATAAATTTATAATTTTTCAGAAACCTATTGGACTTCGTATGGAAATCTTTATAATCAATGGGTGGTAGGAATATCGAAATTCCGTCCGAGTTACGAATCATCGTCCACAGAAAAAGCGTGAAGTATATTCGCGTTCAATCTGGCATTTCCAAATATCCAAAGCTAAAATAGGACGACAGCGCGTTCTGTTAGACTCTACATGGCTAGGGAATTTGCCTACCATCAAGTGGACCCCGTGCTTATCTATCCTCCTCTATCATAAAAAAATATAATAATACTCACAAACTAAACAAGACAATTAAACTTCTCTATAACGAAAAGCTAATCTTGTACCATTGTCTCGTAGTTACCTTATTTGATTTATTATATTTATAATTATTTTACACTGTACAATATATCACAAACGGATAAACATATAAAATTTAAAATGATTTATGGTTTGATAGTTACATATAAAAACATCCAGCAAAAACCCATCGAATTTTGTCTATTGCGTTATATTATCGAGCGTTTCTTCTTTGTTTACCTATTCAATCTACTTAATTTTTTTTCATATAGCGCAATGACTTGCCATAAAATGAGAAAATAATGAAATTTGAAAACAATATAGTCCTAAATCTTAATCGAGCTACACATTTTTATTTAAACCAAAATTCTTCTTGTTTTATATTTATCTAATATTATCTCGCTACCGTTAAGTATACGTATATATCGTTACAGTATTATAAAAAATATTTTTAAATAAAACACTTTAACGGTTTAAAACGCGATATATTAGTTTAACCTAATTTGAAAATGATTTTTAACTTTGGCCCGACGTTTCAAGACGTTCAAAGTGTTTTATTTAAATGTGTACTACTCGCGTAAACTATAGACAGTATTACAAAAACATTAATGCAAAATAATGTTTGATGGTAGGGTTTTCTTGCACATGGTCAGTAGTTAATATTTTTAACACGCCGCTACGCAATCCTACAGGAACAAAATTTACCCAATCATCTATTAACACCATAACCATGGGAATTAGGTACGCAATTAACTATAACTTTAGAATACGATACACTCTACACAAACAACGCCATGGAAATACTTTATTTTTTATTTTATTGTTTATTCTTAACTATATATAAATAAAACACATTAACGGTTATAAACGCGAAAAATCATGTTTAAATACGTCTAACTAAGAAATATATATATCGCGTTTTAAATTGTTAGTGTTTTATTTAAATGTGTACTACTTGCGTGAACTGCAGATAAGAGTTTTGTTAACAATATAATTGATTATATGTGAAATGGTTAAATATAAGTCAACATATGGACAAAACAGGAGTTTTTTCTTTTTTATACCTTAGACTAATAAATAAGTATTTCATAACATCGTATCAAGTATAGTAAAGTAAAAAATACGTTGTTTTTTAAAGTAAATTTTACAGTAAATTAAAAAAACTGATGTAGATACCAATCGATTTTTTCTCATCTAAATATATATATTTTTATGAATTAATTAATATGTGCAATAGAATAAAATAAAAACGCAGTTGTCAAATATGAAGTACGTAACTACTGTTAAAAACTAAAAAAAAATATCTATGTACTTATCATTCACAGGTAGTCGAATAAAGAAGTTTTAAATACCTACTTATACAGTATACTGACTTTAAAAGACTCAATTATCTATAGACATATTAATCTTGAAAACGGGTCCCAGCTTATCCCAATTAGAATGGTCTACTAAACTATTCACATTTTAACATACCTTAATCTCTTCGCTTCGTCTATAAACGGCCGTTTTTCCATTTCCGTGAGCAATTTCCACTCCGCTCCCAGTCGTTTCGAAATTTCAGAATTGTGCATCTTTGGGTTGTCTTGTGCCATTTTTCGTCTCTGACCCCTCGACCAGACCATGAACGCGTTCATTGGCCTCTTTATATGGTCAGTGGGTTGTTTTCCAAGCGACATATTCATTGTTAACTTTTACGACGATTTTACTTTACAATAAAATTTATTTTCTCGCACTGTCCATAGTTTATTGTAAGTTTAAATTTAAATTCGAGATGACAAAGCGAGTTTGAATCGTTCTCTGTTCCCGCGCGTCTGTGAAAAGCTTCTAAAAGCTCAATGCGGCGCTTTTCTCGGTTGTGTCGTGTATAACGGGATGGTTTGGGTTTCCCCCGCTTCCCCGTGGGATCCAGCCAATCATTGGGCGTCGTGGGCGGCCGCTTCTCCACCATTGGCTGAGGTGCTCTCCTTCTCAAACTTTGCAACAGGTGACGTGCTTGTTAGAATGTTTATTAGTTTCGCTCTTTTTAAAATTGTGATCTCGCTTGAATTGATCTTTAATCTGTGTACTCTGTAAATAAAGGCGAAATTATTACGTTATCGGTGTTAATCTGTTAACAGTTTACTTAAGGTACATGTTTATAGGAATTGCTTTTAAATGTATACGTAATGGAAGTGTATGATGTTAATATTAATAAGATATGTTAAATTTTATGTAAAAAAATAGTTTCTACCTTTTACCTGCTTATAGAAGCAGAGTTCATCAAATAAAATAATCTTACATAATAATGAACTATATACATATATGTTGTTAATTCTATCAAATTTAAAAATAAAAAAAAATGCAATAAATGCACGCGTATTTTAATTATATTTTTAGGAAAACAAATCCCCATCTGCCCATGTAGGGGAATAAACAGACTTTTGTGCCGCTTAAAGGCGAGACATCCCGGCTTCGAACTAATCACGTTTAATTATAGAGCCGCGGTTGTTTCTTTTAAAAATTCGTTCTTAATTACCTACTTATTATTTACTATCTGTTCTTAAATATGTTGTGAGTACATAGCTTTAAAAACTTACACATCTACCGTCCTTAATGGTCTTAGTGTATAGTTAACTAATATAAGATTATGTCATACTAGAATAAAGATAAAATAATAATGCATGAAAGAAGGTCAATTAGGAGGGTGTGCTCTATTAGCCGGCATTGAACCGAGTTTGCGGTTGTTACTGTGTCCAATCTTATGCAAATATCTCAGACATAACTCGGTTTACAAGCCCAGTATACAAACGTATATTGTGAATATCGCGAAAAATTTTAAGAGTGCGTCAATGGACTTCCTCGTCGATCTTTCGAGACTTTGAAGGAATTTTGTAGAGTATATTAAGGAGTAGAGAAATAAATTTATTTACTACTATAAGGCACACAAAACATATAAGACGTATCACTAAACGTAAAGATAAAATATACTTCATAGTATAACTTAATACTAACAGTATAAAATAATGGTGTGTGCTGTTGGTGGAATAGGATCTTACTTAGTGTATATCAGGCCCTTGTTGACTTAAAACTGATTGTCAGTAAGTCCTTAGTGAAAATATATAAAAAAATTATAGTTGTAAAATTAAAAAATATACTTAGTAACCTATTATATTATAGCAAGACCGAATGGTAGGGTCAGCACAAAGACATCACTATTTGGGACAAACCACAATGTGTATATATGACATAGATTGGATTGCCCTCGTTGTCGTCTGTGGGTTCGGTCACATTTTCAGAGCGCACAACCGGCGCATGCGACATTTGAATGCAAGTAAACCTGTAACAAACCGTATGTAATTGGGTACTCAGTAACTTGTGCACAATAAAATAACTAGTAACGAAACGTTAGCCCGGACACAATTTCGTCACTCGTATTTGGCTGTTTGATATGGATATTCGGTCGTTCATCGTGCGTTTGAACCACACGCCCGACCCTTATGTTATAGTATGCATTACTAACATGTAATAACATCGAAACTCGTTGGAATAAAGAATATTATGAAGAAAAAATCTACTTTGAATAATTGAATTGCAGTCGCTCTTGGTCAAAGTTCCAATTTATAATAGGCCATATAAGCGAAAATATAATATGTACATAGCACGAGGTAATAGAAGTAACGAGTAACGTAACAATGTGAAAGTAACGGCTATTAATTGTAATCGTAATGAACACATACGGGGCAGAAGCGTTCTTTCGTTACTTTTACAAGAGAGTCGGAGTTCTAGTGCAATAACGGAAACAGACACGCAACTGACTCTTTGACAGCTGACTTGACATGACATACTGTCAACATTGACACTTCAAAGTTCCACAGAGTATACTATGCCTAACTTCAGAGCGGAGGGATTAAATGTATTACTAATAATAACAATCCGACATATGCTTACTTTATGGGAAATATTATTGTGGTAAAAGTTTTATATATATCAAGTTTATATAAAAAGCGTCGTCGATTCCTGACTATAGAAAAAGCTGCTAAGAATAAAAAACATTTTTTATGCTTACATACATGCTGTTATATATTATTATTATATTTAGAAAGAAAGTGAAAAGGTTTCATATCACCATTATATGAAACCATCATTTTATGGCACATCTATCATTCTTTCAATATTGTAAAATGATAACTCTGTCGAATTTAAATAAAATACTTTAACGGTTTAAAACGCGATATATTAGTTAAACTTATTTGAAAATGATTTTTAACTTCGGCGCGACGTTTCGGATGCTTTGCAGCAGCCGTGGTCACGGGGAAACACGGCTGCTGCAAAGCATCCGAAACGTCTTAAAAATAATAAGTACTTAAGTTTGTAATGTTTTTTACCTACATGCATGTTAAAATAATTTTGCATAATTATTTTGCCATAAATGTTCTCTTGACAATTCATAGCAGCAATAATTTAGTATGCTCTTTAGACTATGCTAAGCTAGTAAATTGTACCTCGATGTCGCATAATATTATAAGTAAACATAATCGGGCTTATTAAATTGTGTAAGGCTTTCACGGCCATCGTTCAGCATATCACTGTCTTTCGGGCTGTTCGGCCGACGTGAGCAAGACGAGGTTCTCGTCATTTCCCATTCACGTGCGGACGGCATCATCAGGAGATGTTAACTCCTCGATTGCTCGAAAAATTATTGTCGGCCGAACAGCCCGAAAGACAATAATATGATAATCGGGCTTATTATAAAAAAAAACTTTAACTCTTAAACCATGTTCTAAGGCAGTACCATAGTTAGCCCAGTACAAACGTTAAACTTCGCTTTATAATGACGACTCCAAGTAAACCACGGTTTAAACCAGAGAGTTAGTCTTCGATTTGTAATAAGAGTGAATTAATTTTTAAAATAGACCTAATAACTACTACAGAGTAAAAGAACCCAAGGGTAGCATGAGGCGAACACATTTCTGACCTCAACGCTTAACCATGTGGCGAGGCAAAGGCTTTCTACCACCAGTACCGCGTTATGAGCCGCTGAGTAACGTATGCCCTTCTGATTAGTTGTGGCATCAGCCTTGTAACCAAAGTGCATCTGCAATTTCGCTAACACTACATATTACAAGGGTGCATAATCTCGTTTACCTGCCCGCTCGTAAAACAATCTGAGCCGCTACAACGCGTCCACAACATCATGTTATGGAGCGTTTTCGCGCTTCACTGCGGCACCGCAGGCGTTTTCTGGAACCTTCGCAAAATTTTAATAACACACACTCGACGCTAACTCAATATGAACCTTAATACCATGTGATACAGTTCAAATTTACGCACAGAACTTATAAGTTGTGTCCCTCTGGATTCGATGGGAGGTAGACTATTCTGTATCTATATTGAATACATCTTTTATGATACGTTTATGTAAAATGGTCTATTAGTCTCGTTGATGTGTTTTTGATTTTATTATGAATTACGTAATTTTGTCGGGTTTTCAATTATTCGTGTTTTTCGCCAACAATTATTGAGAATTTAAATAAAAAACTTTAACGGTTTCAAACGCGATATATATTAGTTAAACTTATTTGAAAAATATTTTTACCAAACAATAACAAGTATACTGTGACAATTATGTTTGAATCGTCTTTATGACAAAGAACATTAATATCCTATATACCTGTTTCAGCATTATCATTTTTTACTTTACTACCTACATTTAATAAAACACTTTAACGGCTTAAAACGCGATATATATGAGTTAATCTAATTTGAAAATTATTTTTTACTACGGCCCAACGTTTCGGATGCTTTGCAGCAGCCGCGGTCATAGCAAGACTTACATATGTAGTTAAAAATATTTTTCAAATAAGTTTAACTAATATATATCGCGCTTTAAACCGTTAAAGTGTTTTATTTAAATGTGTACTACTCGCGTAAACTATAGACAGTATACCGTACCATATGAGTTAATCTAATTTGAAAATGATTTTTATCTTCGGCCCGACGTTTCGGATGCTTTGCAGCAGCCGTGGTCACGGGGAGACTAAAGATGGAGGATGTCTCTGACGTCATAAAATTGCTACGCTAGCGCCATCTGTTCCGTCGAAGTTGGTATTTGGCGAAACTGGCCGGGTCCTTACAGAATTGACTAACGGTGTCTTCGCGTTTGCTGGTATGCTGTTTATTGGGATCCAATTAATATGGGATCCCAGGTGTTTGATAGTTTGAGGCCGTCCTGCCTATTGAGTATTAAGTTTAACTAATATATCGCGTTTTAAACCGTTAAAGTGTTTTATTTAAATTGCTACGGTATATCAAAAATGTTTCCGGATCCTGCAAATGGATCGAGGCGTATAGAGTAGCATAGAGAGTAAAGCCGTGAAGGTATTGGTGTCACTCCTGACATGGATTAAAACGCTGAAACAGGTATAAGTATAGCATAATATATTCTTTATCATAAAGACAATTTTATCATAATTGTCACAATACACTTAATATTCTTTCGTTTGTTTCTTAAAGCTTTTCAAAATTGTAGTTTTAATTTGTTTTGTTATTGTTATTATATTGCAGGCTTTATAATCTGTCGATACTGGCTTATATAAAGCAGCCTTAAGTCACTTCTGACAAAGTGTATAGATATGTATACTACATACGTGATAAACTGGATGTAGAATTCATCTCAAGATAGGCTTTTTAAGACTTTAAAACAAAAACTTAAAGTATATACGATAAAATAATAGCATCACTCAAAAGTGTCGTAAGACAAAATATGTGACAGAATGAAAATATAATAATTATTCCAAATAAGTACACAATCTTCATAAAATTGGAGGCCAACAAAATCTAAGTCGAGATGTTAATACTTGGGTAAGTATTGTCTGTACTTTACACGAGTTGTGCACATTTAAATAAAACATTTTTAACGTTTTTTTTTGAGAAATATATATGTAAAACTAGACTAGACTAGTTAGAATAGTATGTATTGTTTTTGCTTCCGTTATCTTAAGAAAAGTTTTAATATAGTATCTCGTGTGTACCGGGTTCACGAATGGAGAGCAACACAACAGCTTTATTACACTAGGCGGGACACTTTATTCTGCTTTATTCATAAAGGAGCTATATTTTTCGTCAGTAAATATTAAACCGATAGCTCTCAGAATACATAAATAAAGGTCATTGTAATTATGACACTGCCACATAACTTCTAATTTGTTTTCTGAAATAGTTTTACAGAATTAGGTGTAGGTACTAGCACCTAATTCTCTACATTATAAAAAATAGTAGTCAAATTAGGTAACACTTTTCCCCCTTTTCAATAATATACACTCTGATGTGTAAAAACATAATTGTCGCATGTAAGTAGTTATCAAGAGTACCTACTTATAATTAAATAAACACGATATATATATGAGTTTAGGTTTCCCATTACAACATCATTCAAAACGTCAGTATGTAGTTAAAATACGTTTAAATGATACAATTTCGCGTTTTAATCCGTTAAAACTATTTTATTACCTATAGGATACCCCAAAGTCACGATACTTGATAATGTTTATAGTTTGTATGGTTGGAAGGTACAGCAATCAATTGAATTGAAGCCTCAACACCGTACTTCTAAGATAATACAGTAAAAATATATTCTTGGAAAGCGAAGGGAAATTAATCTACATACCTAACATAGATGCGGCCCGGTAGAGACCATGACGTAGTGCGGTTTGAAACATAAAACTGAGGCTTAAAATTCGCAATAACAATAAGTTACGGCTTATTGTTACATTTAGTCTATACGATTTTGTATTTATTCGTGCGTTGGTAAGTGCCCTTTCGTTCAGTCGTAAGGTCAGATGTAAAGTAGACGTACCCAATTGGACGATGGTAAAACAATGTTACCCATAAGACTTCTTCCATCTAGTGTCTATCTATTTTTAGGCTAATCTTCTCAATTCTTTTGATATATGTATGACATCTTCCATCTTCTCCTTGCTTTTTGTAGCAGTATGTTATTTTTTTCCATATATGTAAAATTTATTTCATTTCATGTGAATGTATATATAACTAAACTTCATAGGATGCTTTAAAACTTTATTCTTATTTGTGACTACTGTGCTATAGTATTTGTGTAATGTATAATCTGTTTGTTTACTTGTTGCTAAATATATACATTTCTGTCTCCGCCTTCTCATCAATTATGATCCTCTCAGTGCCACTCTAGCGTTTTATTGCGTCTTTGACGTTAGAAATAAATTTTAGTTTTTCTAAGATTTTTTCTTAGATTCGATGAATTGACAAAATTAGTTAGTTAGCTAAAAGGCTATTATAGGCATAACAATTTTGGTGATGTAAGATATCGTATCAAATTACTTATAGTAATCGTATCGTAAAGTCGAAAGGCCTCTATCCTCGCGACGACACCCGGGACGGGAGCTTTTTGTATCTCACATTATAGCTTTATAGGATCTTATTTTCATAAATATAGCAGTTTAAATACCCCCTTTATGCCCGCAGTGATTTACAAAGTATTCCTAGCCTCCCGGATTTTACGATTGTGTACCTACATAAATTTTGAGTTGTTTAGCTACTTAGGTACTTTACACGTTATAAATTATATAGAAGGTTTTTAAATTATGGCTTTACTTGTTATTGTCCTTTTACTGATATAATATGAAATGACTTAGTCCCGCGGAAAAAAACGTTAAGCTGTCTGTCTTGATAGTCTATACGGTCACCAATTCACACTGGTGCAGTATGGTGGATTTAAGCTCTGGACATTACTTGGTAAGGATCTATAGCTAAGATATATTTGAAAAGATATTGTAATTGTTAGCGATTGTTATTTATTCCTTAAACTTTCACGTGCCAGAAAAAAATATATTAGGAGATTATCACTATCTTTTATGTTACTTTTACCTTAGAAGATTAATTCAAAATTTTAAAGAGCTGTTTTAATCTTGTCAAAGGTATAACGGATATAAAAACTGACATGAATTTATTCTTTTAAACCTTGTAGCGACATCTATCGTAACTTATTAAACTAAACGTGTTGCTACAGCGACATCTACAGACTACCACTAAAGTTATCTACAAATACGTTCTTTTCTATTCTACCCCTGTGAGTCCGATTAGAATGAATTAATGAATTGACTTCTTTACATTCTAGATGGCGCTAAAAACAATTTGTAGTTTGACTCGTTATTACAAACAATTAAATTTGAACGAAATAAGCCTTGTCGCTGTTAAGCAATCTCTTCCATCCATCTTCTACATTATTTAATTTTCTATCGACAATCAATACTGATATTTTCAAGCGTGTAATATTTAATGAGGAGGTTACCTACATCATTAAACTTACACATATAGATAACGTTAAAATCACACACATTTATTTATTACCTATAGCATGTGTAAGTGTAATGCATAAATAATAATTTATCTATATAAAATGTATAATTTAACAGTAGGTAAATAAAACACTAAACTGTTTAAAATGGGAAATATCTTACTTAACTTTATTTTAATTTATTAAAGGTAACTACTGGCCATAGTTTTGTATGCTTTGTAGCAACCGTTGTCTAGATAAAGTTACGGATACATTAAAATATATAATTAAAATGTGTAACACTCTCGTAAACTAAGAAGGTATGTATGGGCGTCAAAATTTAAAAATATTGTATTGTTGTACCTAAAATACAGCCAATGCGATTCCAGAGCAACATTTACCATGACTAAGTGGATAATGTCCTCGTCTTACGATTTATAAAGCCGTTTAAGCTAAGTAGGCTCTAGCTATTGAAATCCTTCTATCAATTAGATGCTTATCAACAATACAGGCTCAGTTACATTTATTGCGATCAATTCGAATGAATAGCGCCATTATGAAGCTATAGATTATGCCACACCTCGTATCCTACCACAATCGAAATAGAAAATCACTATTCAATCTTATCGGATTATGTAACCCATGTTTGGAATTGTATAACCTACCACCACACTTATATCACCACGGTCTTAGTGCACAGAGACGATGGTGGCATATATACCGCATTGGTTTGTTTTTACATACTATGAAGGTTCACATATTTGCTACTAAATCGCATATATATTATACAACTAGTAAAGCAATAAATTTATTATTTATTTCCACTTTTTTCCACTGTCAGATAACAATAATATGTGTCTAACACTTTCTAACTTTCTTCTTTGGCTTTTTGGGAATATGAATGGGAGTTGGAGTGGGAGTGGGGTCGAGAGTGGGCGTGAGAGTGAGAGTGGGATTTAGAGTAGGAGTGATGTGAGTAGATTGGCTGCGATAAATGCGCAATTACATAAATTAATAAACAGCCTAAATAATTAAAAATTATACCCCAAGTCACTATTCCACGCGAACGCGAAGTCGCGGGCATAGCTAGTTGTAATATAATTATTATAAAATTGTAAATGAACGGATACATTACGGAACATGTTAACATATACGTAAAGTAACGAGTTAGAAAAAAAAATTAACTTAAAGGGAGTATAATTTGAATAGTCTTTGGCTTTGTGATCCATATGTCCTCTCAAGCAATCGTTTGATAAAACTAATAGATCAATGCGCAGTCGCGCCTAACAAAACATACCAGTATCATTCAACAATTTGCAGGCAATCAGTGCATTGTCGCCGCTCTTTATTCAACTTCAGATAATACATGAAAATTGTCATCGCTATTGTAGTTCATCTTTTGTTGCTTTAATGACCGAGTTCGGATTTAGTCCGGTACCATCAGTCCATACCGATGTCTGCCTGTCTGGTTAAACGAAAAATAACGCCCAATGTAAACTTACACCAGATTAATATTTCGTGAGATGAGGATTAACTAATGGCGTACGCAGATCAAATCAAACAAGTGAAACAATTAACGAAAAACAATCCATACCACATAAAACGTCCAATGAACGCCTTCATGGTCTGGTCGAGGTTGCAGAGGAAGAAAATATCAATGATGAACCCGAAACTGCATAACTCCGAGATATCGAAGCGCCTCGGATTGGAATGGAAGAGCTTGGACGAAGGAGAGAAGCGGCCTTACATCGATGAAGCGAAGAGACTCAGATTAAAACATATGCAGGATTATCCAGATTACAAATACCGACCTCGGAGGAAGAACCGACTGGAAGTACCCTACGTTAGCACGGTATACGCGAGAGACACTTTCGTGGAAATGGAGCCGCGACCCGAACCTTACCAACCGATTTACTCGTGTCCCGATGCACAGTATATGTACGGTAACATGATGTACACTCCTATAAGTCAGCCATCGTTTGTGCCAATAAGAAAAGAAGAGGTGCCTCTAGATATAAGACCGCTGCCATCGATTGAGAGCATATCGCCAAGACCGTTCATTGTGAACCAGCAGATGATGGTGAAGGCTTATCAAAACTTGCATTACGTACCGGAGGATGTGGCTAGAATATCGTATTACCCGTTTAGTGTTCAATAGGTGGTTAAGTAAGTACGGACTTGTAGATCTATTCACTGCGATTAATATACCTGTGATAGGCTGTTCTTTTGTTTTAAAAACTTTGCACGCACTACTAGCGAATTGTTAAAACATTTTTTACTTCCTTCAAATGTATACTTACAATCTAGTAGATGTTATGGTAGTCAATTAAAACATTTCGTAGTTTTTCTGTTATAGAATTATATTATATACCTACTTAGATCGACTTCTTATTTTAGTTTAAAGAAGCAATAGTCACGCCAATGTAAATAATCGATCCCCACCGGGTCCCACATTTTTTAATCGATTTTTAAATTTTCCGAAATTGGACTTCAAGTTGGACTTCAAGTGGAAATCTGGATATTTTGGTGGTAGGAATATCGAAATTCCATCCGGGTCACAAAGCACATTCCTTTCACTGTCAAAGTTCAATCACGATTCGCTTTCAGTCTGTGGATTTCTGAACCCAAAGGCAACATAGGTCGACAAAGCATCATGTTTAGATGCTATAGGCTGGGATATTCCACCTACCATCGAGTGAGGCCCATGCTTATTTGTCCTTCTCTATCATTAAAAATCTAGCGTTAGTCTCATCAATTTTGTTGTAGTAGGGTAAAAGCATTAGCGCAAAAAGAAAAATGGATACTTCCGCGACAAGAGATGAAAACATTCAACACTGTCATTTCCCCGATGATCTGAAACGTTCAAAAATAATGTGCACACGATGACGAAGGGGTTCGCACAGACAGACAGATTGACAGACGGAAGTAATTGATTGACTGTTTACATCAGTGCGGATCTTTGCGCTGGGGTTTTGGGCTAATATTTTTACGGATACTCCTACTCAGTGATGTATAGAACGGTGTTTTTCTTAGTAGGTACCTACACATAACGGACGTAGTAAGGCTCCTAATTATAAAATAAAATAGAAATACTATGACACATCAATTTAGTGATTAGGTAAAAAATATGAGATTTTTTACTATTAAGTAGGTGTTATATTTATTTATTTTAGTGTCTACATACATATATTCGCCGAGCATGAAAACAGTACTGCGGTTTATTTGCCCCATGAATCACTCGTTACCATTTTATATACTAATCATATTTAAAATAAATGCTTCTTTATAACTATAACCTAAACTAACTAATTAAATGAAATCGCGTTTCCCCACATGCCCCGTATTGTTTTCCCTTATTCGAACCCAGGATCTCTCGCATTTAACGCAATGTTCACGTTTAACCACTTTGCAGCCTAGGCTGCTAAATAATATATTTATGTATGCCATTTTATATTGTCAAAACGTAAATATGTACGACTTTTCTAGTCGCATTGCGTTAAACTTGATAGGTGGTGGGTTTAAACCCGGAAGAGCATAAATTGTGTAAGGCTTTCACGACCATCGTTCAGCATATCATTGTCTTTCGGGCTGTTCGGCCGATGTGAGCGAGAAGAGGTTCGTTCACATCGGCCGAACAGCCCGAAAGACAATGATATGCGGAAGAGCATAATAATTTTGGTCTGGCAGGATACAGAAGTCCAACTTGCTTGGGAATAAAAGACCGACACAAGATTGTGTCCGCCCCGTTCCACGCGGGGAAAGAGCGACACTGGTATATTTAAGTAATAACACAAAGTGGTTAAATAGAGAAGATTTGTTAAATACTTCGGCACTCCCTCAAATCTTGTTAAATTGTAATTAACAGCCAATCTCTTGCAACTATTTGGCTTAATCGAGAAGCCTCTGAATAAATTTAATTAAATCCCTTACGCCTTTCTTTACTTGCTTTTTATACAATTACGATTTGGATCTATATAGAGCTGCGACGACATTTAAATTACTATTAAATAAAATGCACGTAATTTAATTAGACATCTATAACTTATCGGCGGGAGTCGAACACTGTGCTATCTGAAGTTGCTTAACAAATGAGTTGATTAAAAGCAATCAAAAGAGTGCATAATGAGATAATGAGATAATGAGATAAGAGCGGGAAAGCTTCAGTTTTGACGGGAGTTGTCTTTCAACGGTTTCGATTTTAAAACGGGTCTCACATCTTACTAATAATAAACGTAATGTTGGTTTATGTCTAGAAATCTGTGGTGGTAGAAGAATATGGAGATTTTGGTCCGGGTGAAGCGTTTCAGTTACAGTCTGTGGATTTAAAACCCAAATAGTTTGACAGTGCGTCTTATTTCGATGTTATATGGCTGGGTACTTCATGTACTATCAAGAAAACACCATACTTGCTTCTCTAAAAAAACGATATATTTATATTGTTATTAACAGCTCTGTGTCTATCTATTGAAAGTTTGTTTCATTAATTAAAGAAACCTCACTGCGTTTCTTGCAAATTGCCATTTATTGAACAATCTAACCCTTCAGTGTTTGAAGTCATTGTTCAAACGAACTAAATTTGAAAATTCTATTTCTACTAACTTAGGACAAAGCCTTACCAATTAGAATCAGAAACATACAAACAATCAACTGTTTATACGAGGTCTTTAACTTGTATTGTTAAAAGTAAATAATACATCGTAGAATGTTGTTGTACAAATATTAAGCAGAAAAATTAAAACATGAACCCAAACCATTTATTTCACGCATGCACATACATTAGAACAAAACATTTTAAATTCTAAACTTAATAATTTTAAACAATAAAAACGCAAGTATATAATGAATTTGTTAACACCTTTTTACTAATTAAACAATAATTATAAAAAGTATTGTCTTTATTTTACTCGGCGGATTTACTCTACCGGTACACATTAAATGAAACACTATTTAACGGTATAAAATACAAAATATGGTACTTCATTGTACCCGTGACCACGTTTGTTAACGACCCGGTAAAATAATTTAATTAATTATTCGCGTTTCAAACTGTTATAAGAAATTTTTTGATACAGTTCGGGCGTTGTTTTAATACATAAGAAAGCTGTACAAGGTTTTAAATATAAGTCTAATGGTTTGAAAAGTGAAATATATTAATTAACTTATTTACAATTATTGGTTTTAACTACGGCCCGACGTTTCAACGTGCTTTGTAGCGCCATCTGTTTTGTCGTACCTAGTTGCTATTTGGGGAAACTGGCTGGATCCTTTCAAAACTGACTCACGGTGACCTCTTGTTTACTGGTATGCAGTTATAAGTGTTTTATTGACATTGCAATAATTATTCGCATAAACTATAGATTATACTTAGCTATACGCATCGTTACGGGGGAGATATGTAAGTATACATTCTGTTTTTTATTCACGTAGGTATGTCTTTCCAGTTTCTACAGTGACGCAAATCTGAGTAACACGTCACGACGACACGACAGCGTCAGCTTATATCGTTATCATCTCACATTCAAACTCGCAACAAAGACCACCTCCTCACGCCAATATGTGCCTTAACTCAACTGCATAGAGGCTAGAAACTCATTACAGTGTTTTATCAAACGCTCGGCATTGTCTATGGCTTAGTTACTTGTATCGATAATGACACGTCACATGTGACAAATTGATTTATTTTAATTTAAGTCTTATGTGGTACGTATAAAGTTCTATTTGTTCTGAATCTGATACAGTACATGGTATTAAATGATTTATGATTAGGAAGTGTTCTTTAATCCATACGTTCTGCGGTCTTGGTAGAGGGAAATGTATCTTATACAGTTGTGATAAGAGCGATGACAGTGGCTTCAAAATCTTGCCAAAACCCGTCAAGCGTCTTCTACATAGAATGAATGATGGATGAATCGTGTGCATTTCTGTATGAAACGTTTTCAGGCTTGAAAAATGAATTCGATTGTCATATTCGTGTCGTGGAAAAGGATAAAAATGGCGCGTACTGTTAGTGAAAACATTCATAATGATTTGTGTTTGTAAATGTTTTTGCTTTTAAGAGCCGTGAATAAACAAATGATGTATGTAATGTAAGTTTGTAGATACGCAGAACGTGCAAGTGTAAAAACAATGATTATAAATTTAAAATGTAAACAAGATGCATCTATATCTAGATCTTTGGAAATCTAGATCTAGGTCTAGGTCTTCGGTTTCCACAGACAAACCGAAACGTAATTAATCTTACTGTTTTTTCATGTTTGGACGGTGGTTCGTTACCCGGACGGAATATCATATCCAGATTTCCAGATGATGTCCAAGATGTGTCCGACATTATAAATTAATTCAATGTTGGGCCTGTGATCGAATCTACGACCCGTTGATTTTTGGCCCGTCAACTATTTGATATCTAAGGGAAAAGAGTTCACGAGATTAATGCCTATTACTGAATAAAAAAGATTAACGAAGAAAGCCTTATGCGCAGGCGTAAATATACGATTTTTAGTATGGCGAAGATTCAAATATAGCTAATCCTAAGCTATTCCTTTGAATTAAAAACAAATGACACTCGAGGATCAAACAATTTGCAATACCAGCGCTGATTCCATTAAGATACCTATTAACATAATAGAATCGTAAAGGGCAATTTGTCTGGGATAATGGTGGAATAAGTTTCGGATATCTTCTAAATAAATATCCCCTAAATAATAGTAAATGGATTGTACAATGGATTCGCGAAACGGGGGTGTAGTGTAGGAGCGCGGTTACAAAAATTCGTTACTTTTACTTTGGTTGTCTGTATTAGATAACTGCCTTCGCAGCTATGGACAACATGTTGTTAAGCATGCGTGAGCAAGTCTTGGGTTCGAATATTTTGCAAACTATTTTTTTGGCCAGTTGCTGATCAACTATTTGCCAGTGAATCGGACCCAAAAGTAATTACCCCATACCCCTAAGGGGGAAAATGGGAATTATGGAATAATTGAATTGAATAAACTGCTCAAACGTCGAAACGTTGAAATTGAAAAAATATATATTTCGCACAACGTAAGTAGGTAATTAAAATTAGATCTAGTTAAATAGAAATGATTTAATAAACATTTTTTAAATATAATTTTGAATTCGGTGCAAACTAATATATAGATGTCCATTAAATAGGGGTCT